TAAAAATATAAGCTGTGCTTTCTAATGCTGGCTTCACACGGGCCGTGGTTTCGGTCGCGCCGCTCGTGCCGCGAGCAGCGGCACCGTGGGAACAGAAGAGTGCTGTCTGTGCCAGTGCGGGCACACATCGTATGGGGCGGTATGGGCGCGAGTTCGGTCGTACAAATTGTCAACGCGGGCCGCGGCTTGTGATATCACAGGCCGTGGGAAGCCGCCGTTTTGCTATCGCACAGAATTATCACCACTTGTATCGATCTATTTAAATATTTTATTTTTGTACGAACGTAAAATCTGATGAATAATTAAACGTCATTGGGCAAAAATTTTTGTTTATGATCTTAGTAACATAGTCCTGGGAAGTTGTTAGTATTTTACAAATAACACTGTATATTGAAGGCCTAATGGGATTAAGACCGTTACTTGTACTGTTTTGTGTGCAATAAAGTTTTTATAAATATTTCTCTGCATAAACAGTCGAGGAGGCAAGTTACTTACGAATCTCGTATGACATAATCGTAGACGAGATTTTAGTTCTTGCCTCAATGTAAACATCATGATACGATAATGTTATGGCGATTATTGCTTAGGATAATCGCGTACGATTTTTCGTCACGAAGCGTGCGATAAACTCTCTTCATCTAAATGGGCCTTAAATATTGAGTTCTTAGGTTTTCGCGATTGTTACACATAGGAAATGAAACTATTTTTCCTGATTTAAATCGCGTATATTTGTTTTTTGAAACAAACCAACGTTTCGGGCCCTTTACAGGTCTCAATTGACTGAGTCGTCATATTACTCATTCTCCAACAAACCGAAAACTTTTATAAATCGATGAGTCCTAATTTTATTAATATTTTTATAATTTTGCATATTATGCATTCTACATAAATATGAAATAATATGACACGAGTATTACTTATTATGTGATGATAACTTATGACCATTTATTCTTTTCATAATTTTATTTTTTGTATTTACGTGTCGAATGCATCTGCAAATTTTTAAAAAGAAATCGGAATCATTGATAAAAAAAAATGTTCGATATGTCTAATAATGAGCTATATCGTCGGAGATAGTGCAATTACGCGTAACTAACAGCAGTAGAGCTCGTTGTTAAAGAGTTCGGCCAGGAAAGTACTGCCGTCTTAACTGCCGCCAAACAGTAACGTTCCGGTTTTGAAGGGTAACGGTGCTGGTGAAATTACAGGCACATGGGACTTGACCTTTGCGATTCAAAGCTTTGAGTGGCACTGATACTGTTATAGACATGAGTGTAACTTACCATCAGGTGCACGACTCGTTCGCCCCGTCACTTGATATTATAAAAAAACCTAGCATTGGACTATGAGTTTCCATTTCGGTAATTTAGGGATCAAATCAAATGCGTGTGTATATCATGGCAAACAAACTAGCATCATATACGGGACTCTATTGTTATCAGTCCGTAGACAACATAAATTAATGTTTACTGTGCAAAAATGAAAGTCGTAGCCATTGAAATAACAAAGTAATAACGTTAAATCATATCCTGTAGTAATTTGGCTTAGTGCAGACACGCGCTTTTTACCAATACTACGTACGCATATTTGCACTGTCTCCGACGATATTCAATTTATCGTCTCCTTTCTAATTACAGTCGAACACTGCTTCGCAGTAAATTACGTCTTGAAATACATTAACGGATGTAATCCAAACTACAGCTATAGCGAAGTCATCACTTCGTATTTCTTCCAAAAACTGCCTCACTATTTAAACGACATTGTGCATTTACTGGCTGAAATATTTTTAGAGGTAAGATTGTACATCTACTAATAGTAACAGAATCTTTTAGAAGTAGGAATTGCTTTGATCAATTGATCGATTAATTACTTATAACAATGCTTAGATTCAATGTGTAACACGATTTTTGTTTCTGAGTTATCAATATAATTTTTCTTATTGGTAACTTGACCTGTGACTCAGTTGGTAAGAGCACTGCTACGATGCAGAATGGTCGTGGATTCAAATCCCACCGGGTCGAAGAATGTGTAAAAGAGCTCCTTGTGAAACAGTTCGTCCAGGGAAGTACTGCCACTTTACCTATTTCTGCCGCCAAGCAATAATGTTAGCATTACTGTGTTCCGGTTTGGAAGGGTGCTGGTGAAATTACAGGCACATGGGACTTATCAACTTATGTCTCAGGGCGTCGCGCGCAGTACCCCACAGAGTTTTGCGATTTAAATCTCTGAGTGACACTGCAACTGTTATGGACAGGCGTGTAGCTTACCATCAGGCGCACGACTTGTTCGTCCCATCAGCGTCCATTAACATTAAAAAAAATTAAAATAATCAGCACTGTGTGGCTATGTAAATACCACAGTGACCGCCACAAAAGTAAAGTTTCAGGAGTATAGCTACTCTTTTCTACATACTTGCTGCTCCAGACACCAATAACGTCAAACCAGAAACAGAACCTTTTTGAAAATTCTGTTAATTTTAACTAAGAGGTACTTCATATTATGGTTTCAGGTCACTGGCACCCAAGGAACGTTTTTATGGTCATTTACAGATGCTATAAATATTTCCATGAGCATGTACTTGATTGCACATTTTCAAAAGCTAAATAAACTAATTTTTGCTTCAAAAGATAATGTGAGTATTTACTAAATGATTTCATCACACTGTTAGATTAGTTGCAAGAATTTATATTTATATTGTGCACTTTAAGACAACTTCAAAAATTCTTTAGGACAACTGAAAAAGTAATAATCGTTAATAACAAACATCGAATACAATAAAAAGTCGTGCGACCTGACGCAACTCGAACTTGTGTCTGTTTTGCCTCAGATTACTTATAGTTGCTACGTAACAGATACATCACTAGCATAAAATCGAAAATACCTATGCTAAATAGCCCACTAAATCTGACTAATGACACCAGGCGCTCACTACGAGGAAAAAGAAACCTATGCGCGCTCAGAGAGGTGAAAATAACGTTGCCCGTCGTATGCAGTCGTGCGGAGCCGAATGCTTATAAATGAAAGACTTGTATGAGCGCTTGCGCCGACGTCGGCGCACACAGCGGTAGGCGCTTATCGCCTAACCTTGAGCGACTGGCGGAGCTCTGGTTTTGCCAAGCCGTTAAAGAACCAAAAATAAAGATCTGTAACTAACGCATACAGAAATTCGTGAGGTCTGCTCATTGTGCTGCAGCCTTTGTAGCCGAACGGTTACCATGCTGGTCTGCCACGCAGAGATTCCGAGTTCGATTCCCGGGCCGGGAGAAATATTTGTTTCTCTCGTGAGTTTGAGTGTAATTTGTTAGTTGTCTATGTGCGTCCATGACACCCGCGGCACAGGATTTCCCTAATGCGGGGCTATGAGTGTGTGCGTTAAAAAAAAGGAAAAAGATTTTAAGCATGATACAGTTTTTTTTTACAGAAATCGACTAATTGGGGGAAACTACGAGAGCAACAAGGCGTTCTAGTTCAACTTATTCACCTCATGAACGACCATTTCAGTTACTGCGTTCTCTTATCTTGCTTTAGTAATTTGTATTTTATGTGTGTGCAGTTGTATAACAATCTTGGGTAATATTTTAATTTGTTTTATGCTAGTCACTTATCATGAAGGTACATCTACCTACCTAGTAAATATTTGTTACTCAATATAATATCATGTTGAGCCGTGGTAGCATAAGCGCCCAGTTACACGACGCGAAAGTTTTATCCGCCCAATCACCACGCTTTCATGTACGTTAATGGCGAATCTGAATTCTGTTTACTAGGCAACAATTCCTAGGCAAAAAATTCCTTTGAATAATACAATCGCACGGTCATCAAGCGATCGCCGGGCGGCCGCCGCGTAGACCAAATTCGAAAACCACACAAAGTAAAAAGACGCTCATTTAAGTTAAAACGTAAAAGCTAAACAAATAGAGCGTATTTTGTCATGACAGTCAGATTCACGCGCCCGCTGCGCGGCGGCCGCGCGGGGCGAGCGCGATAAACTTCGTCTGGAATAAATGCGCCCTAATGGTTTGACCTACTGCTTTTCATGCAGAGGACGTGGGTATGTGCGAAATATACTTTGAAATTTACCATGATCTTTTCGATGAAGGAAAACATAGTGATGAAATCTGCACGTCGGAGAGAATGTTCACTCTAAGTCCCCAAACAGTGTGGCAGACAACAATGGCCTAAACCCTCGTCTGAGATTGATTACGTAATATCATCATCAACATGAATGGGTTGATGATGACTACGTAAATATTCTGTTAATTTTAAAATGTTTCTGTATTCTGTTTCAGCGCAGTTGCATTGGATGTCGTCAATTGTGACCAAAAGGGAATCACAGAGTTAGTCAAATTTATTCTTAATCATTATTACAATTAACGCTTATGAAATCACGTTCTTTTGTTACGTTTAACACGTTCAGATCGGCGTATACCACCGGTGGTCACACAACACTTGATATTTAGTATACTAAGAAACTCACGCTGCCTTGAGAGAAAGTGCTGAATTTAACGTTGCTGCCACAGGGCAGCAAATTTTTGAGTCCGTGAAGTACCTCACTCTCTCAAGACTCAAATTGCCACATTTTGAAAAAAGAACTAGAAATGTGCTTTTTGATAAACGACAACGAACATAGCAAATTATGTCTGATGAATTGTATTAAAACTGTCAAAACTGATAAAAAATGGTTTACTTATGATAATGGGTTAATTAGAAAGAACAAAAATATAATTTATTATAATAAAACATAATTTCGCCGTGTCCACCGGTGGCGCTCCCCGACCCACAAGATGACACGACACATTTCTTGTTGTTGGCGCGATGATGCACCACCTAATTTTGTTGTCGGTCAGAACGTAAATATACATAGTGTAACATTTTAACATTGACAAGGTATTAATTTAAGTATTATTAAAACTTGCAGGGTTCTCCACAGCTTCGACCATCACGCATATTTCTTCCTTTCCTTCGTATATTTAATGGTCAAATCTTTGACATTGTCTCATATGGCGGCCAACGTGAATGCTGTGGCCCAGGACCCTCTTAGTGCTCTGGGTGATATTCATCCTATGATTTATGGTATTGAGGTGAGAGATAGTGATTTTTCTTTTAAAACATTGATATATTGGTAAGGCCCTTGTCTTTCTACGTTGAAGATTCTCTAGTAAAATTAGTTTTTCTTTTAAGAGTCGATACTACCTCAGCTTTAATTCAAATTTTTCCAGTACTAATACGTTTCATTTTGCTGACGCTAGACTCAGTGACATTGGCTTTATTTCAGAATTTATTTTTTTTAGAAACGAAATTGAAGTCATTTGAAAAATGTGTATCGTATACTATACGTGTTCTAAAGAAAAAAAAAAAAAAAACCATTAGTAAACAACATTGAACTATACCATATACAACTCATCACTAAT